GCTCTCTGCTCGAGACCGGCCACGACATTCTGTTCTTCTGGGTGGCTCGGATGGTGATGCTGGGGCTGGCCCTGACGGGGAAGCTGCCCTTCCGTGAGGTGAGACCCCAAAAAACAGCCCAAAACCAGCCCAAAAACATCCCCAAATCACCCCAAAAAAATCCCCAAAATATCCCCAAAACAGCCCAAAATCCATCCCAAAAACAGCCCAAAACCAGCCCAAAAACATCCCCAAAACCATCCCCAAAACCATCCCAAAATCACCCCAAATTCATCCCAAAATCCATCCCAAAAACATCCCCAAAATATCCCCAAATCCATCCCAAAAACAGCCCAAAATCACCCCGAAAACAGCCCAAAATCACCCCAAAACCATCCCCAAAATATCCCCAAAAACATCCCAAAATATCCCCAAAAACATCCCAAAATCCATCCCAAAAACAGCCCAAAATCACCCCAAATCCATCCCCAAATCACCCCAAAATCCATCCTAAAACCATCCCCAAATTCCCCCCAAATCACCCCCAAACTCCCTCAAAACGTCCTGACCCTCACCTGTCAGTCCCCCCAGGTGTGTCCCCTGTCCCCAGGTGTGTCCCCAGTCCCCAGGTGTGTCCCCAGGTGTGTCCCCTGTCCCCAGGTGTGTCCCCAGGTGTGTCCCCTGGTGTGTCCCCAGTCCCCAGGTGTGTCCCCTGTCCCCAGGTGTGTCCCCAGGTGTGTCCCCAGGTGTGTCCCCAGGTGTGTCCCCTGTCCCCAGGTGTGTCCCCAGGTGTGTTTCCAGGTGTGTCCCTCTTGCAGGTTTACCTCCACGCCATCGTCCGCGACGCCCACGGGCGCAAAATGAGCAAATCCCTGGGGAACGTCATCGACCCCCTGGACGTGATCACGGGGGTGACGCTGCAGGTGAGACCCCAAAAAACCCCAAAATCACCCAAAAAAACCCCAAAAATCCCCCTGGACGTGATCACGGGGGTGACGCTGCAGGTGAGACCCCAAAAAACCCCAAAAAACCCCCCAAAAATTCCCAAAAACCCCCAAAATCCCCTGCACGTGATCACGGGGGTGACGCTGCAGGTGAGACCCCAAAAAAAAACCCCAAAATCCCCCCAAAAATCCCCCCAAACTCCCCCCGTGCCCCCCAGGAGCTGCACCTGCAGCTCGAGAGCAGCAACCTGGACCCGGCGGAGCTGGAGCGGGCCCGGGAGGGACAGGTGAGCCTGGGGGGGATT